GGGCATGTACCTTGGTTGCGGGCACATCCCCAGTGGGGAGTGTGCAGGAGGCAGCTGGTCGATGTTTCCCTCTCATCGAGGTTTCTAACTCTCTATCTCTCTCCTTTCCTCTCTGTAAAAACTCAATAAAATATATTTAAAAAAAAAAAGAATGCTGTACACCTGGAACCTATATAATATTTTAAGTCCTAGCATGACATTGTTAGAACAGATCATCTAGGCCGGGGGTCCTCAAACTACGGTCCGCGAGCCACATGCAAATACAAATATTGTATTTGTTCCCGTTTTGTTTTTATACTTCAAAATAAGATATGTGCAGTGTGCATAGGAATTTGTTCATAGTTTTTTTTAAAACTATAGTCCAGCCCTCCAACAGTCTGAGGGACAGTGAACTGGCCCCCTGTTTAAAAAGTTTGAGGACCCCTGATCTAGGCATTTTAACTTTGGTGGTATTTTTAGTCCTAATCTCAGCCAGCCTTTCATATCGCCAAATGGTACTGCCTCTTTCATTGAAATGTCTCTCTGCACCCTGGCTGGTGTGGTTCAGTGATTAGAGCGCTGGCCCATGAGCAGAAGGGTCTCAGTCAGGTTTCATTCCCCCTCAGGGGCACATACATGGGTTGCAGGTTCAATCCCCAGCCAGGTTGGGGTCGTTTGCCCGAGGCAGCCAATCAATGTGTCTCTCACATCGTGTTTCTCCCTACCCTCCTACCTCTCTGCCCCCTTCCTCTCTCTCTAAAGATCAATAAACATATTCTCCAGTGAGGATTTAAAAAAAAAATTACAACCTTTCTCGTTCTTGGTATTCTTATCTGCAAAATAAGGAGATTGGGTTAGAAGATCCTAAATGACCATTCCCCTCTGAATTTTCATGGAAATATTTAAGTTTCTCCTAAGAGCACAATCTTGTGTGCCTTCAAACTATTTTAGGTGAAACATGGTTTAAATTTTGTGGACTGTTTAGAAAATAAGGAATTATTTGCAAAAGTTGTAATTCCTATATTTTTAAATAACACCAAATAAACAAATCAAGATTGCCATTTTTGTAGCACATTGATTCTGTGTAAATGAAATCTGCTGAAGTGGGCTCAGTGAGGTTTAGGTTTCGGAATAGGCCTGGAATCATATTTATGACATTAATTTGTTTGGTAAACTTTTTTAAAGGACGATTTAACTTCATCCCAACTCTAAATTTTCACAAATTCAGAATTAGTGAGGATTATAATGATAAGTAATGAAATTAAAGAGAAACTTTAGTGGCATTCTTCTTGCTTTATACCTATACTAGATGCTCAAGTTGCACTTGAAGCCCAGGTAGACCACAAGGTGGCAGCATTAGGCCATGTAAATAAAGTGTTGCTGTAGGGAAAAAAATGTATTTTCTTTAAAAAAAATCAAATAAGTTTTTACAGAAGCACTATATGTGCATGAAAGGCTGCAGATTGACCTCCCATTGCTTAATTTAATGTCTTTATTATATAACTAGAGGCCCAGTGCACTAAAATTCATGCACTCCGGGGGGGGGGGGGGTCCCTCAGCACAGCCTAAGCTCTCTCACAGTCCAGGACCCCTTGGGGGATGTCCACCTGCTGGCTTAGGCCCAAGCTGGCAGTCAGACATCCCTCTGGCAGCCAGGGGGCCCTCAGGGGATGTCTGCCTAAGCCACAGTCGGACATCCTTAGCGCTGCTGAGGAGGCGGGAGAGGCTCCCACCACCGCCACTGCACTCGCAGCCAGTCAGCCTGGCTTGTGGCTGAGTGGAGCTCCCATTGTGGGAGCACACTGACCACCAGGGGGCAGCTCCTGCATTGATCGTCTACCCCCTGATGGTCAGTGCACATAATAGCGATCGGTCATTCCCGGTCATTCTACTGTTAGGGTCAATTTACATATTACCCTTTTATTATATAGGATTACAAGTTATAAACTGGAAACTTTCAATGGGAGAAGTCTCTTACTAAGAATTTTAAACATGGTTAAATTACACAGTAAGGATTTTGGGAAATACTGAAAGGTATTATAGTGAAATAAAATATCCAAGATGACCAATATTCCCTTTGTGAAAATTTAATTTTGATTTATTTTAAGCCAATATCATTTTAAAACTTGGATTGTAACTAAATTTTAATAATGCAAACAAATAATAAAGTAATACAAATATTGCAGGAAATGCATATCAGAAGTCCTTTTTTGATTTTTTTTTAAATTTCCTCATGGAGAAAGAAAATTTTAGGTGTTTTCACACTACTTCATTGAACAAGAAAGACTTAAAAATAATGAGTCCAGGAATTTAGTCACTTCTTGTAAAGTAGGAAACATTTCCAAATATTTTATTGTTGTTTTTTCACACTTTTAAAATTTTATTTATGTGAGATGATTGCAAAGAGTTGATTCAGAATATATGAGCTGAACTTATGTTTCCTGTAAAATAAGAAACATTTCCAGATATTGTTTTCCACAGTTTTAAAAGAAGTTTATTTTCAATAAAATAATTGTAAGGAGTTAATTCAGAATTTCTGGACTAGAACTAATGTTTCCCTTTATGTAATCTTTGATAGAAAGGTTTGTTAAAATGATTTATTATATTAAAAAATCTATAAAAAACAAACTTAGTGACTTAATTTTTTTACTCATAAAATGAGGATAATGATAGTACTTACAGAATTTTTATGAGGATTATACCAGTGATTACAAGAAAAAACACTTAAATAGTGCCTGGAGTATAGTAATTTAATAAATGTTAAATATTATGTATCTCAGATGTTGCTAAATAGTTGTTTGCATAGTAACTCTCAGATATACAAACAATCCTTTTTTCCCTTTTTATTAAGCTTCGATTTCTAAGAACCTCTACTAAGTAATATGTGATTAGCCTACTTCTAATTATTATATGAACTTAGACATAATGAACTGGCCTTCCTTAAAGTAGCATTCTGTAATTCACACATTTCACATTAACCTCACCTTTACTGCATAAAGTTAAGAATTCTAGACCCAGTCAAGTTAGATTAAACTGTTGGAAATAAGACAAAATGTGAATTCTCCACAAATTTAGAAATAAGGTAAACATGTATCTGTCATGGTGGATCCAGCTCTATCTAAAAATTATTCCTATTAAACATCTAGTAATTCTTTTTAAGCCTTGGAAGTAAGATTTAGAAGATTCTACTTATACACTTCCTTCTTTAAATGTTCTTCATAGTACTGGCATATCCTGAAAGGATAGATTCTCAATTCCTTTTTAATGTACTTAGAACCATGCTTTCAGAAAGAAGCCTACCTTTTTTTTTTTTTACATTAAGAATTTAAAATAAATACTCACATATTGTGTCTTTATTTTGGTTAGATAACTCAAAGGTTAAAAATTGGAATTCTAGCCATATGATCTATGATAATTTAGTGTTTCCTTGGCCCTTCTAAGACCATCTTCCTGATTTTTTCCACTTCCATAACTTCTTGAGGAACCTCTGAATAGATTTCTAGTGGTTAAGATCTAATCGGGGTCATAGACATTTTCTTGGCAGGTTTCTAGGAATTAGATCTAATGTATTTGTATAATATTGTTTGACATACATAAATCTGTAATTTGCTCAAGCTTATTTTCTTACGGGGCCGTGTCAGATCAAAAGAAAATGGCAGTAAAGTAATGTCTTCCTGTGGATTTAAGGGAACATTAAGATCATGGGCAGGGATGGCTTTATAATCTATAATTCTATCTCCAGACAAGAAGCAAAACTTGTTCTTTTCATAATGTGAACCCTGCTATCTTCAGCGTAACCCACCCTGCACCCTTTTAACATGGAAAATTAAAGCCAGATTATGTGTTATCGAGAGGCCTCAGTCATAGAGACTTCGCTCCCGGGCTCAGGACAAGGAAGGAAAATACCAGGCTTTGTGAATCAGAGCATTTGTTTAAGGAAATCGATGAAGTGGCTCTGTGATAGGAAGCTTGTCTAAGCTGTTCTGTAGAATCGCAGAGAACTAGGAAACAGTTGAGGAGGGCGGATGTTTTGTGTCTTCTCAGTCGTCACGTTGTTTGTTGACACTATTGTGGGACTGGTCCTCACGTACAGTTTGTCAGCCCTGGTCTTCACTTCCAACCCAGCACTGATGGCCCTTATGATACAACCTGACTTACAGATTGTACATGGAGCTTCATAAAGTACCACTAATTATTTCTCTGTACACGTTTATTTAAAAGGATTTGATAACCGTGAACATGAATGACCACTGAAAGGTGAACCTGGATTTCAGCCAGAGCCGTGCCTTTGGGATTTGGACTTCAAACCCCACCACTCAGCATGGCACTGGCACATTTCAGGCACACAGTAAATGTTTGCTTAACAAATTTATGTTGATTTTTTTTTTTTTTATGGGCCACACTGCCTGTCCACAGTCCCTCAAGAATAAGAGCACAGTGGGACAGACGGTTCTCTCGAAGTATCTCTCAGTGTGACTGGTGCCAGCGAAAGCGTGAATGAAGGTGGAGCAGCACCGCACGCAATCCAGGAGCCGGGTCAGCCGCGTGGGAAAGGCCGCAGAGAGACTTGAGCCAGGTTTTCTTTCGCACTGAAAAGAAGAGGGAAGACAATCGGAGGAGATCTAGCCATCATTAATAAAGTGGCTCTGTGGCCCACAAATAAGAAAAAAATGTCAGAAAGATAAAAAGAATCAAATTATGTGTCATCCGCAGAGAAAAAACTGCGCTCCCAGAATTCACTCTAAGTCACCAGAATTCAGAACGCCTGACATTTTTTTCTTATTTGTGGGCCACAGAGCCACTTTATTCAGCCTGTTTGTTCTTCCTTTTCACTGCTTTATTACTCGTCAGTTACTTTACTAGCCTCATAAGTTGATGCCTTACCCATAGATTTTCTGGGGCACACCTACAGGCCGCACTAGCTTGTCTGTGTTTAAGAGAACTGCAAGGTCTTTTTCACACGATACCTTTGTTATAACTGGATTTTTTATTTACTGTAGATCCTCGCCGGTACATTTCTGGATATCCTGTTGAACCTTCTTAGGAATTCAGAGAACTGCCAGGTGACCACTGAAAAAAGATCTCGTCGTAAGGCTTACACGAATATTTTCTGTGGTGACCTTGCTTTAAGACAGATTCAGTTCTGTGATCAAAATGAGAAATGTTATCTGTCGCCGAGCTTATTAGACTTGGGGTAAGGCTAGCAGTTTCTCAAGGGCACGAAGGAACTCACAAGATGCATCACTCTTATTCTTTCTTTAAAAAATAAACCAGAAAGGCTTTTCTTTTTTTTTATTAACTGAGCCAACACTCAAAAGAATCCCAGTCTGCAAACCACAAGAATTCTAACAAAAAACACTGACTGAATTGTTTTTCAGCATCTATTCATACATAATTTAACCAAAACACATTACATCTTGAAAAGCACTTAGGTTGTATTTTATTTTTTTAAAAGTTTGTCATGGATTTGTCTTTTTTATTGATCCAATCCAATGAATGCTGTAGGGGAAATAGGGAGATTATCCTCAAAAGAAGATTCTTGACAATTTTATTGAGTAATATCTTCTCATTGGGTTAGTTTTTTTAGAAGCATTATATAATGTCATAATATGAAGTTTACTTTATCTTGATCTCTATAATTCTTAATCATAAGCAGGTTTCCCCCTTATTTAGAATTATCTTTAACAACTTCTCACTTTTATATCCAATGGGTCATTAAATTGTGCTAATTTTATCTTACATATTCCTCTCCAGTATTCCCCCTTCTCTCGGCCACTGCTTTAGATCAGGTTCTCATCATTTCTCGCCTGGATTTCTGCAACGATCTATTGATTGATTTCCCTGTCTCCAGTTTGACCCACTCCAATCTAAGCTCTCCATATTGCCAACTAAGTAATCTTTCTGAAAGACTAATATAATGACCATGCCATTTTCTTGGCTTAACATCCTTCAATGAGTCTTTACTAAAATTTAGGTACAATAAACCTTCATGGAGCTGTTGGAACATTAAATAAAATTCAGTAAGAAGCTCTAGGGCAGGGCCTGGCTCAGCACAGGCCTTGGGTATCTGTTAATGTTTTCCCTTTGCACAAAGAACCTATGGCAGCAGCAGAGCTCCCGGGTAAGGAAGTCCAGACTAGAGGGACAGTGGCTCTGCTGGGAGCCCCGGCTGAAAGGTGTAGGAGCCGAGAATCTCATCACACCACAGCCATGCTCTCCTGAGACCTGCAGGTTGGAGGTTAGGCACAAGAATAGATTGGTCTTGCACCCAGTTCCATCCGTGTTCCAGAAGGAAAGACTTTGGCTGATAAGTAACAAGCCAAGCTCATCTCTGACTAAGCGTCAGTCACCTGAGAGTGGGTGTCATCTCTTTGGTTTTCCTGTTTTGGTTTGTTTTCTCTTCAGTTTCTTAGTAAAGATTAGTCAGGCTTTAACTTAGTCTTACATGAACCAAGAGGGGGCTAAGAGAGACACTGAAAAAGAGAGAGAGAGAGCGAGAGAGAGAGAGAGAGACCGCTGAGGCAGGGAAGTATCAATGAAAGAGATGTGGACAAACTGACTGGTGAAGCTGCACTACTCAGGTGGATGAAATATTAGAGAGGACACAGGTGGGATTGCTGCCTTTGTCCCGCCTCTCTATTCCTGGACAGACCTGGTTTTCCTCATCTCTCAGACTTCAGACAATGGGAGTTTGGTAAAGTCAGATATTAATTAATTAATTTATTTATTAAATCTTTTCTTAAATTTTTATTATATATAT